AATAGCTCTCAACAACACGTGCCACACCTTACAAGATCAACTCAAAAGAGAGGGAACTACTACGGAGGACAGTAGGAAAGGGATCGAGGAAGCACTAACATCAACGTGTCAAGAGGTTCTGTGCCTCAATAAGCATCACCATAGGGAACGGATCTCTATCGAAACCCTGGAAAGGATTCAAGAAAGAACAAGACAGGAATTAACAACAGCCGAACAACAACGACAGAAAACCAACGCACGAGCAAGTGCAGAAGAGCATTAGATCTGACAAGCGAAAATACGTGGTAGACCTAGCAATGACGGTGAAAAAAACTGCAAGAGAAGGCAATACGAAAATACCACACGACACAACGAAGAAACTAGCATGGAAATATAGTAAACGAGAAAGACCGGTCAACGACAAACAAGACAAACTAATCACAGAAACTTAAGAACCGAGGAACAGATGTGTAGAATAATTTGAGGAACCCTTGAATAGGCCAGCTCCATTGAACTCACTGGACATCGAAACAGCACACACAGACCGTTCTGCAGGTGTCACTCCATCAACGATAGAAGAAATCAAGATGGCCATCAGACAAATCAAGCGTCGGAAAGCAGTAGGACCCGACAAAATACGAGCTGAAGCACTCAATTCAGACATACAAGCAACTGCAAACATGCTCCACATTCTATTCAGGAAAATTAGGGATGAGGAATAAGTTCCGACAGACTGTAAACAAGAATACCTCATCAAGATACCAAAGGAGATTTGAACAAATATGAAAACTACAGAGGCATCACATTACTATCGGTACCAGGAAGCGTTTTCAACAGTGTTGCTGGACCGGATGAAAGATTCAGCAGATGATCATCTTCGAGATCAAGAGGCCGGATTCCGTAAGGATCGGTCGTACACAGACCGAATCGCGACACAACGGATCGTCACTGAGCAATCAATAGAATGGGACTCGTCACTATACATCAACTTCATTGACTATGAGAAAACATTTGACAGGGTGCCTCAATAAGCATCAACATAGGGAACGGATATCTATCGAAACTCTGTACAACCAGTGTGGTAGAAGCCTCAACACACACAAGGAAAAAACCAAGATCCTTGAATACAACACGGAGAACACCGACCAAATCACACTCGATGGAGAAACTATCGAATAGGTAGAAAATTTCACGTACACGCACAGCATCATCGATGAACAAGGAGGACCCGGTGCAGACGTACAGTCAATTAGTGGCAAAGCAACGGCAGCATTCCTACAGTTGAAGAACATATAGAACTCAAAACAACTGTCTGTCAACCAACATCAAAGTCACAACCTTCAGTACGAACGTCAACACAGCTCTACTGTACGCAGCTAAAACTTGCAGAACTACCACAACCATCATCAAGAGAGTACATGTATTTACAAACAATTGTGTATGCAAGATAATCAGTGTCCATTGACTGGATACCATCAGCAACAGCCTACTGTGGGAGAGAACAAACCAGTTTCCAGTTGAAGAGGAAATTAGGAATAGACGTGGGTAGTGGATAGAACATACATTTCGGAAGTCATCAAACTGCATCACGAGGCGAGTGCCCACTTAAAATGCTGAAGGGAAACGAAAAAGGGGAAGGTTGAAGATACACTGTGTCTGGAATTGGAATCAGACATGAAAAGGATTAATCGCGACTGCAAAGGACAGAGTTCGATGGAGAATGCTGGTGGGCGGCTTATGCTCCTCCACAAGGGATAACATGCATAATTAATTCGTCACTCGTCAGGTTATTTTTAAATGAATTCGTTCTTAGAAAACATCAAAAATCGCAGTTTCCTATACTTAATCTCTTCAAGGAGAAAATAAGAAGAGACTCGAAGGGATAATTACAAGCGGAAGTCATCACCTCATGAAAACTAAATACCACTGTTTAAGCATGATTAGAAAATCCCAAATTTGACTGCTGGGAGAATTCAATTGAAGTTGAATAAATCGTGTAACTCATTAACATGGTTAGCTCAAAACATGTCAGTAGTCCAGGAATTCATTGAATTTTGGGCTAGGGTGTGTACAGAGTTTGCAATTCCTGTATGTATTTATTTGAACACAGAAACATTAGTACAAGGTGGCACCAAATACATATGCGTCACACAATGACAATGCCAGTAGTAGTTATCATTGATTTGTGTGAATCCTGGTGCTAAATTGAAATGCTGAAGGGAAAGGAAAAATGAGGGAGGTCGAAGAATGCACTGCTTCGGGAGTTGGAAACAGAAATGAAAAAGATCAATAGCAACTGGAAAGGATTGCCCAGGACAGAATGGTATGAAGAATGCTGGTGTGCGGCCTATGTTCCTCCACGAGGGTTATCGTGATAAAACCGTCCAAGTATTTGTGTAGTTATGAAAGTTTACGAGTCCCAAACAGAACGAAACGCGCTTTCTGTATTCCACTATTAGTTACAGACAATCTTTGATAAAATGTAACTAGACACTCAAATATTATTCAGTTTTATCCTTTTACAACCATAACTACGCTCCTGGCTATTAATTAATGGACAAGTAGAACTATCTGGGTCAGTCGTTTTGCTCCTTGCCCTACTCGACCATACGATTTATCACAGTGCTACGCCCGCACGCTAGTCTCATTGAATGACTACAAAACAGTCGTTTTTTCAATACTAGGATAACACATTTTAAAAACTCAGATAACTACAACATAGTAACGGGTCATCAGACTGACCTCAAGTAAAAAATCGATCACAGTTACATGGTAATTATATTTTCAGTAACAAGGTTAAAAGTCAACACTGGCTAAACTTATAACCATATTACGGAATTCCTTAGTAATTGCCATTTAATAATAAAGATAAATCATTACTGTTTGTTGAAGAATAGTAGGAATAATAAAAGTGAACGAAAAACTGATATCTATTACACAAGGTCTGGGCATGTTAATTCAGTAAGCTAATGGATAGTGGCCCTCGTTGTTGTAAAACGATGCTTGCTTTATTAAAGTGTCTGTTGAGACACATTACAAGAGTGAGATTTTGCCAGAAAGTAATATGCAAGTACACACTGAAAATATCTAACAGAAGGGTTTACGATGAATACTTTTCGTAAGGTGGGACTTATCAGCCGGATATATATACTGTTGTGTTAATGCTCACACTCGCGGTTCCAAGCACCAGAACGTTCTTCAGCTTGTTCAATGAACATATTTTAAATTTACGAAAATGGATTCCCTATCATTCGTTTAAGGACGCTATTATTTATCTGTATTAATTTTATTGCTGTGTTGTAATGTGAAATGTAACAGCGACTTAAATCAATAGACATCTGAGTTACATCTTATGTTGTTTACGACTGGAAGAGATGAATACAAATCTTCATAACATGAACATGATCCAAAGTTAAAGTTTGTTGATTCATAATGTATAAATAACGTGCACATATTGAAACAGAAGTATGCAAATTCGTCTACTGTATTGATTAACTATATCTGCTTTTTCATTCTAACGATCACTTGTACCACAGTGATTAATTAGCGTTGTACTGTAACTCAGTGTGATATTAGACAAATGTAACCTAAGTGAAATCAAAGGGATTTGTTTTACCGTCTGTTTTTTCCTGGTTTATGATTCTGATTGATAATTCTAAAATCTATTTTACTGAGGATTTACTCTAAACGTCACTAATTGGATGTGAATAATAATTAGAAGGATGAAAGAAATTAAATGACATTCGTTTTCATGCTGATGTATACCGCAATCAGTGAGAGTTTAGAAAAAAATAAGGCTTCAAATCTAGCATTACATAGATGTATAAAAATCATTAACAGCTGAACGACTCGAGAATTATTTGGAAACTATCGAAGCCAATGTAGTTTTCATTAGAGGTAGGCAAAAGTAACCGAATCAAATTTCTCAGGGCGAGTGCAAAGACAGTAGATAAGGAAGAACTTGTAGAGATGGTGTTCCAATAGTGTTGCTATTTTAATGCTATTTAACTTCGCCGCAGCATACAGTTAGTTGGGCCAAAACAAATCACTGTGGTCTGCCTTGAGTACCTAGTAGTTCTTCATCTTGGTTAACAAAAAATTTCGTTAGTTCACAATAACTTCCTATCTGATCATAACATATTATCATGAGGTGATTTACAAGAGAATCCTGCTGATATGCTAGTTATGTAGCCGAAAAGTAAACAGTAGTGAAAATTTTCATGGATATCGTAAAATTATTTTCACCTGAAGTTTAAGCTGTTCAATTCGATTAACGAATTGTTTTGTTTCAGCGACCTAACTTTCCTGATATTATAAACATGTATCTTCGTTCAATAACACCTCACATTCAGAGATGAAAGGAACATTCACAAACGCAACAAGCTTGATTTTATTGGTCACCTGTAATAATTAGACGCCATGTTAGATGAATAACTGAACAAAGAGCGTGAATTTATAATAAGGTGCATTAATATTTTGCCTCGGTATTATCACGTGCAAGACGATGTATTTCTTAATAATAGACTAATTCGCGTGAATATGATAGATCGTTTACAAAAATTCGCAGATGACTGCTTTCTCTTGAATACTATACTACAAAATTCGGAAGACCGAAACAGTGAAATACGTTTAATCTATCTCTGGAAATTAGTAAGAAGCATTGACAGATATTTAACCGGGGTTTGCCTATCTAGCACCAAATAACTAGTCATGAGGTTAGCGTAAAATATTTTATGTGTAGAAGTGTACAGTTCACGACTATTTACCTTGACACTGTTGTTACTCCATCTATTAAACTATTTGTTTGTTCAGTAGTGTAGTTAACTGTGGCGGGTTTTTCATGCACAGAAAGAATATAGATTAAAATGGTCTTCTCTGTTGATTTAGGCATATGCCTAAGAAAACTGTACAAATATTTTCGCCAAAAAACGTTTGGTGATAAATGACTCCGAATTATGTGCAGCGAGGATGTCTTTGAATATTATGCAACGGCTGTCATTTCAAATAGGGAAAAGTTAAAATTAAACACATATTTGTTGTTATTTACCCTTAAACAATGAAAAAGCTCGAATATCAAAATGAGAATCAATTTCCTTGATGTTACAAACATCATGCGTTGGAAAACGTTTAAAAAAATCACATCAGCGCATTCTCACAAAATAACTGCAATAGGCATTTCTGTTATTTTTTGACAATCTCAATCATTAATGGTACGCATTGACTACTATTAAGGACTAATTAATACAGAGAAGAAGTGACATACACTGAGCCCTAAAACTTATGAAATTCAATCTTCTACTCATTCAGAGATTATAAATATATTATCACTTTCATAAGAATAAAAAATTCATTCAGATGCTCAATATATTTGAAATTGTCAAGTTAAACCTCAGTAATGGTATGATATATATTTATCATTCGTTGGGAAAAAAAATGCAACAAACCGTGAATTATCTTATCGAACATTGAAGGTGTTGACAAATATTTATGTATATGAAAAAATTTCGTACTGATTATGTAAGAACAAAAACAGAGTACATCCATACTAAGATAGAGTTATGGTGAAACTATTACTCATGGTCGACATCGACCCATGAAACGAGGATATAGGCAAACATCTCGTATATGATCTTTGCCTAAAAGCCAAGTACAAAATCGTTCAAAACCTAATCCATAGCCACCATGTGAACAAGTTCCAAATTTGCGCTAAAGGTGAGAAATACAAACAAACAAAATGTTAATGACAGTAAACGCTATAAAGCATTTTACATACAAAATAAATATTTGGAAGTATAACGTTATGAAACACTAAACGGCTAATTTTCACCGTAATATCTCTGGAGGAAGCACCCATCTTTGATAAAGCTAATTCACTACTTTTGAGTGAACATGAGAAAGCAGTAACTAAGTTGAAAAAAGAACATAGACGGCGATATGACTAGGATAGGTAAATTCTAGAGGTGATCAAACATTAATAGACATATAAGATAGAGACTGTGAGTTGACCATACTAATTCTGATTCAGACCAAAGGTCATCACAGTTTACAAGGGTATATAAAATCATTTAGGGAAAACCATAAATAAAACAGTTTGACTACAACAGTTTCTAAAATGTTTTTTATATATTATATATTTAGGGAGTAGCAAACCCTGAGAAAGTCATACAGGTATTTACCTGATAGTTAACGGTAATGATTAAATATCTATTACGGGTTTTGCAACACAAATATATTGATCGACGCTCTATTACAGTCATATCTATTGACCCAAATGTGGGATTAAGCTATGTCGACCAGGCAAGTCCATTGGGATTGAAATGACGATTAGTATAAGGAGTGAATCAGAAGAAAATTAAAGGTAACCTAGCCAAAAGATGTCACCAATCAATGAAGAAGGTACATGGTTTAGATGTGTTTGTTCTTTACTTTTCTTCAAACCTTTAATCATTTTATACAATCGTTCTCTTAATTCATTGCATGTTTTCTAAGTTCTAAGATACAATGATTTCAGCTTCTTTCATTTCTATCCTGTTAACTGTGATGATGTGAAGTGTGACAATTTGGGCTGACTCATATTTGCGTCAAGTTCTATATAGTGTTCACGATTGTTTGAACGGAAAAAGAATAGAAACTTTGATTCAACACTTTTCTGATGATTGATCACGATAATCTAACGCAAAGTATACCGAAATATATTATCGTTTATCCTCTAATAATCAACAAACTAAACAAGGGGAATACAGTGACAACATACTATAGTTAAGAGATACAAAAAATGGATTTTGTTCATACACTAAACGCATTATATTCAACAAACTACCTGATCTGTATACCAGTAATAAGGAGTTGGATCTATTCCCTCTAACTGATATCCTTTGAGAAGATCATCAATATTATCCAAACGCATTGATCCACCAACTAATTCACCAACGCCTGGGACAAGTAGATCAACCTGCGAAATTAACAGACACAGTGATGTTGAAATCAGTGAAGCCAAAAGATGTAACTTATTTAACATAATTATTCTGGTTTGGACTCCTTAAATAGTGTGTACACTACTGACAATCTATTAAATCAATCAAACTGACAGTGTGTGACAGTACTTTATTGAAGACAATGTTACAAATTGATTCAATGAAATTATGCAGTATTAGACATTATGACTAAATAATTTAAAGGTATTGTGTTCCCATGTGATGTGGATGTGAAGATGGTGCACGGTCCAATTCTGTGTGAGTACAAAGATTTGTAGACTAGAACGAAACAGTTGTTCAGTACACTCTAGACTTTCATAGCAGATGTCCATTTATGACGTCAAGCTAACTATTGTCTATAAATAAAAAGTGACCAAAAATGTTTTATCTTTAAACGCTACTGTGATTCATTTTGACTATGGTGTTGTCGATCTTTGTTTAGCTACCAATCCATAAAGACTTTACTTCTCGTCATGTAAGTATTTGATTACTGTTCGAGGTTATTTTTGTGTTCTACTAATTACTATTTTCTGACGGACCATGTGAAAGTATGGTGTAAGAATCTATTGAATTTATTCATTCAACTGAAAATATACGTATTGATGATAGATTAAAAAGCAGTAATGCAAATGACGGCAAATACCGTTTCAAATAAGTTATTTTTTACTCACCTTAGCATCATAACCAATTAAATATGGAAAATGCAAGGCTTATTTGAAAGCCGATTGAACAAGAAAGGGATTTTTGAATTACAAAGAACTACTTACCGAGTCAGTCAGACGTTGATCACCTTTAGTTCGCAACATATAGAAAACTTTTAATCCAGCAGGAAAATTAGTTAACAGAACTGGTTCGCCAATTGTGTCTACAAGTCGACGTTCAGGAGCCTCAGGAATGTCATCACCATATTGAAAAGGTGTAAGATCTTCTTTTGTAATACCTAAATTATTTAAATGAACAATTGCATCTTCGTACTTAAGTCGTTTAAAAGGACTTTTAGGTATTTTAAATTGCTGAAAAAGAGAATCAACCGAAATAAGAAAATGTAAATCTGATCATTGTGAACATGAACAATGTATGAACAATTTAAGCTGTATAAAACTAACAATGTCTTTAATCTGGCACACTTAATAGTGCACGTTTCCAAATTCAGTCAGTTAGTGATACTGACCACACACTCGCTTAATGTCTAAACTTGACGCTCTCGCCATGATTTATTTATTTATTGATTATTGTGGATTCAACCTTTGGTGGGGTCGCGGGTACTTACTGTAAAAATTCGTATTTCAAATGATATCAAACAAACAATCTGTCCAAATATGAAAAAGCAAAGTGTGTAACTATAATCATGACAAAAAAAGTATAATTTTGAATCAATCACAGGAGAAGAATGATATCATGGAATATTTGCTTATGAGTTATGGACATCCAAAAACTAATATGTACCAATTTAAGAATGCAGCAATACTCATCAACTCAACCAAGTTTACATACATACTAGTTATATAATTAAACGATGAAGTAGTCTGAACGTCCTACTCCTAGTAGGTTGTAAGTGTGAACACAGTTGAAATATTTTCAATTATTTTTTCCTAACTTAGTTGGAAGAGTTTTATGGAGACTGGCTTAGTTTGTTGGTTGTATTCGCTACAGAACAGTCTCGGTTGGGACGCCATTGAGAAATGTTTTATCCCAGTATGGGACTCCTCAGTATTCGGAACTCAGAACACCATCACGAGAAAAGCTCAACGATTAGAACCACTGGGTAGAAGCATTTAATAGTACAGTTTCAGTGTCCTCCAGTTTGGGGTACAACGACTATCCAAAATTATTATTGATGACTCCTTTTACTCCCAACTTGTTTGAACTCCACCAGTCACGACTTAGAACTAGAATTTCAGAAATATCTCCAAGTTAGTCACCAGCAAGCCAACTATTATCATCTAGTTAAAAGGGTTTTGTGAAGGTTGATTCAATTTGTAGGTTGTATTCACCAGTCAGTGATGTAATTTACCTTTGAAATGAACTATCTCCGCAAATATCTAGTTCTATAATATTAGAAAACTGAAGAAAAAACAGAATTATTTTGAAGCGAACAATAAAAACAAAAACTCATAATATAAAATTACTATCATCAGTGTTATCAAGAGTAAAACTAACTGGGTTCACATCTAATAACAGATCACCGGATTTTTTCATGATGCGATCACAAACATCAACAACTAAATCTTCAATCCGTTCTAATAAACCGTTCAAATCAATAAATGGACATTCCGCTTCAACGTGATTATACTCAGATAAATGGCGTCGAGTTCTACTCTGAAAATATCAAAAGAAAATTGAACTAGTCATACACTTACAACGAAATTATATATACATGCAGTAATAGAAGAGAGCGGTCCGTTAGTTGGTGATAGAGATGGGATAGACGTAGAGCGTATCAGTAACTGCAATAAGCTCCTAACTAATGTGTAGAAGTTTTAGGTATCAAATATACACCAATAGTTCTCAGGAAATCATCATTAAGTATCGTCTAATTTTTGAATAGTAGTAAACTAATAATGCGGAAATTTCTAGAAGCATATTTATCGGATGACTACTTAGCCAAGATTCTCTTGTGGCTCAGTGATAATGAAGTGAAGCACACCATATCAGTAGAACTTGTATAATCGAGTTTTAACGACGGCACTTGGGAAGCGTTAGAGTCAGTCAGCCACAACGTAGGACCAGGCACATATATGCATCGGTCCAAGTTGCCATACCTCATTAACACAAGATGGACACCGGATTCATATAAGTGGTTAATTCAGAGGTGGTAATATATAAAAGAAAGATTGCAATAAGGATATAGTACAGGAAGAAAGAATTAGTTCGTAGAAAGAAAGATATGAAGCGATTTTAATCTCTTAGTTTAAGAGAAGACAGAGAATGTATACACCGACGCCATTGTGACCGATTCTGAGCCATGTCACCAAGAGTCTCCAACCATTGGTTACGATAGTCACGCGGACCCCAACCAAGTAGTCTGCATCTACCAACATGGCTCAAACTAGAAGTTAGTGACTTCAAGCACTGATGCCACGTTTTGGTTTGGCCGCCCCTAACCTTCTTCCAACCATCTCCAACACCGGTTAGCATTGCACGTCGTGGTAATCAGTGTTCGGGTATACGTATACAAATACGAACGTCTCAGTATCTGAGCGAATTTATCGACAGGCAGCAACAAACTGGAGGGTGAAACAGAATAGTCGGAATAGTTAGCAACGAATAGTGCGTTCCTTGAAAACACTAGCAGAAACTGTGTGACACGAAATGGTACTTGAACATTTATCTCAAGAATCACAATCCCTAGAGGATATGGGAACAATGATTAAACATGATAATATAATAGAAAGGCAATAATGCTGGATTACGTAATATGGATAATAACAATGAGAGATAGTATGGATGAATAAAAAACCTTGTTAAATTAAGAAGTTAACAAACGATCATAATATGAATGGAGTAAGATAATTAAAATGTTTTGTTACAATAATTAAAGGTAATAGAGGAGTTAAATGAAGTAAAGTTATGTAAGGAAGCAATAATGAGTAAAATCATGGAGATATGGTATGCCAACGTTTTGGTTGGTCGGTGTCCAAAAGTGGCCAAAACAGCTTAATTCAATAATGTAAGCGAATTCGTCGTTTCATCTTGTGATAATTATAAATTTCCGCCTGCCACTATATCAAATTATGTTGACGCCTGACATATGGTAATATTAATCTACCATTGCGTTTGCGCTAAAATGGGTGCTATTTCAAGTTGTATTCAAGGTTATTGGAGTTTAGTAGCTGCTAAAAGAAACACCATACATGTTCAATTAACCCATGGTTATTATAAACAACCAAAATGCGTACATTTAATTGCAGACAATTGTTCATAGTCTGCAATAATAAAACACAAGATGCTATTTCTGGTAATGATTGTCCAGAACAACGTAAGGCTTCAATGAATCTCAAGGCTCCCCGCCCCGTCATTGATAGGCATGCAGCTCCGATACTATTGGTCACTATTGACTCAACAAAGATGAAGCCATAAATGTCACTGGATGGAGTATAACTTTTAAACAGGCTCGACCCAATATGAAACCAGACAATCATACACGTAGTGATCTTGCGTTCTTACTCCAACAATTTAATGAGTAGCAAATCGAGAAAGAACAATTCCCTTTAGCACATAATTAATGCATGTGAGGGGGTTCACTAGATAACATCCTAAGAGAATATCGATCGATCACTAACCATACCAGGACCTTATGATTTAGCCGTCTGTATTTCTATGGGGCATCTCTTCTGCTGTATTGATTAAAACAGGAATGGTTTACTTAGACTATGTGTGGACAACCGTTAACCTGACCTTATCACTAAGTGAAATTTATTCTATTCCCCTCAGATAAAAAAGTTGATAGTTGAGCAAGGTTCGTTAATTCGGGGGATATATTTTCAATACAAACTGCGCAAGCGCGAACAAATTCACGAGCTCTGAATACTGAGCACAACCAACAGTGTTCAAATGGGAATCTACAACACCAAACTAGTGGCAAAATAGAAAACAAAGATTGTTGGTAAAAACGTACTTTTTCAGCTCGATAGCTACGGGTTATGCAGTAGCAGTCACCTACGGCAGGTATACATGTTTCTAAATACAACTGAGACGACTGAGACATGAATGCATTCTCACCAAAGTAATTCAAAGAAAACAATGTAGAACTGCCTTCGACTTGAGTTTGAACAAATGTCGGCGGTAAAACCTAGAAAAAAAACAAAAGAAACAAATTATTCAGAAGTTTATTTTGAATGGACTAGTATATGACCTAGTTATAATGGAATAGTATATATAAATATATATAACCAAGTTCTTACGAGGGGCATTTTGATCTGAAAAACTTGGAGGTAACAATCATGGCTGTCGTGTTGAACGACGCAAATGAAAATTGCCAAAGGAGAGTGATGTTACTTACGGCTTCATTGCAGATTAAGAACAGTAAGTATGAGGGTTTAGTAGAACAAAGTACTTGAGATCAGTAGGAAAAATATGACTGATTAGACTGTGAAGATTATCAGTGTTATTTTGATGGTCAACAAAATTTATTATTTATTTCAATACATAAATATCGGTACAAGAGGGCGCCAAATATATATGCGCCACACCATATTTGTGTGTGTGTGGGCTGTGATACTGCCCGGATGCCCAAACCGAAGCAGGTGGTCAACAAAATATCAAACACTAATCGAGCTTACAATAATAATAACTATTAATGCATCATTGAAAAATGATGGATATGAGAGCTGTGAATAAGTGATAACATCGTTTAGTAACTTGATTTATCAGATGTATATTAAGAAACCTTTTACAATGTATATTATCTAAGTTGTATATATAAACGGGAGTACAATACTAAAACAACGCAAATATTTAGTGCTTCCAGGTTCTTCAATCATTCTTCTCTGGTGAATATAACGGTTCATGAAGTAAACCGACTATAAAAATTAAACTTATCTTCATATATATTTAGATAAAACAATTTTTGGCTAAGGGTATACGAAACGAGACTACTTTTGTAGCAAAACTAACCTCCACATAACCACGATCTAGGTAATGTGCACGGAAAGCTTCCAAAGCAACGCTGATGAGCCTGAGCACTTTCGATGTCTAAATTGAAAATGAAGTATCAAAAAAATATATATACAAAATATAAACAGTTTATAAAATAAGAATAATCGACATTAACACCATAGATCTATTCGCGTTTGTAATCCGTTTTTACAAACATCAAATATTAAATGTTATTTCTGACTTTATTCCTTAATCTCATTGGTTATTTTTAGAGATGCGTCTTATGATTCTTCACTTTTACTGACCCCAAATACCCTTGTACGGTCGAGGGTGATGAGAAATCACTCTCCCTCTCGAATATAGGTGGCCTACTTGAATATCTGGGGTAGCTGATCCTGCCATCTAGATATATCAACAAGTTATCTGTTTTTTGTTTGTTTTAACACCAATTGTCTATTAGTCGCATAACCTATTTAGGCGCGTTTGTAAAACATTTATGACCTTTTGGTGTATAATTTACAAGAAAGTACAATCAGTGACACCATGATTACCGGCAATACGAATTGAAAAGAGTGCACATTATTCGGGCGTTAATTCCTGAACCAACGTCTAACGGGCGATCACTCAAGATGTTAATCAACTTCTCAGGAACACCCTCCTTCAATAGACAATCTCAGAGAACAGTCCTGTTCAACGAGTCGAAAGTGGCCATGATGTCAAGAAACATAACGATTGTTGACCTGGAATAAGTATGTCAGTGTTCTAACATTTGGTGGAGATATGATCAATACATCCTCGGCCAAAACCAGCCTGCTCTTCGCGAGCCAATCTTTCTCGTATTCTGAACAATCTACGAAGTATGACGGCAGCCAATAGTTTGGACGCAATCAGAAATAGACTGGTTCCTTGATAGAAACGACGTGAACCCCTTTTTAAATATAAGAGCAACTATCGACTCGTTCTATTGTGTTGAGACACCCTCTAATTGCCGGACCATTGTAAATAACTCAATTAGTTCCATAACCAGAAAGTCACCATCTTTAAAATGGCCGGGGTTAAGTCATATGGGTCTGGTGATTTCTGGCGCTTTAAGAGTTAGAGTTCCTTGCGGACTTCTGCCTCATTAGGTGGATCAGTCGTCAGAGGTCACAGATGGAGAGCGAATTTGTAGTACTTCACTAGATTCTTGAATACGGGTCTCGGGAAGACAACAGATATCGATACTAGGGTTTTTTAGAGACATAGCCAAACCTATCTGTTGTCTGATCCGTATTAGAGTACGAACGTTGAAGGAAGCCAGTTCGAATGGCATACATTGTTTTAAAAAGAATGAGTAAGCATTCATAATCGGTGTTAGCATTCAACTTTCAACCAGTTAGTGACTCAGGATCGTCTAGGTAGGACATAAACATTAACATTAGGATACCAGTATACCCAACTGACGAATCTAAAATAGGATAAAAACGAGTGTCTTATATCCAAATGCTGACCACAATCCACCTCTTCTATAAAAAATTTGTAGCAGAATGGCTATATATCGAGACAATAATTACAGAATGCCGATATACCAACTAGAACTGATCAAAATCCAGTCAAGAATATAAACAACGGGATCATCCTTACAGATTAAGAACTAAAGGTTGTTCTTTTCCTCATCTGAGGGAAAAATATACAAAGGATTTAAAATGACAATGCTATACATCGGTTAAGGCTGTAACATTTAAAATTAAAATGGAAAAGGATTGATAGCTGGAAAAAGAATGGCAAAAACGTAAGACAATGAAGATACTGATGAAAATGGTGTAAAAAAATTCGGAAGGGAGATCGAATGAGAGAGAGCAATACGATGTTCAAAGATTTACATTGTTGACGTTTCATTTAAAATATAATTATGGATGGTGATTATGTTCACACAAAAACAGAAACTTTGAGGGAACTAAAAAGATTATTAAACACCACTTACATTTTCTCCTCGAATAACCAAATGTCTGTTGTCCAACTGAGTGTCTATATCACTTTCCACAGTTAATACAGAGTCGATACCACCAGCTGGCGCTTTACCAATCATCGTCCAACAATCAGCAACTAATTCTATGCCACCAGGAGCTGACTTACCAGATGGCAATTGTTTTACCACTCCATAAACTTCGACAGTAGATTCTGGTGATAGCGTGATTGCATCTTGAGTTAAACACTTAAAAAGTAGTATGGCATGAAAAAAAATAAATTGTATGTAGTCGAATTGAAAGCGATTAAAAAAACTATAGGCTAATTATTGATAGAGTAAATTAATCTACGAATCAATCTGTATGCCCGGCAATTTGATCAGGTGGGTGAACACGGAGGATTCACCTAGAGAAGTTGGAAAACCCTGATCCCAAACCAATGGTTCACATGGGCTCCAGGATACCGAAGGAACAAATGATCTACGAACTTACTGTTAGTCACCGGCTACTATAGGACTACATCTCCTTATGTTACTCCACTGCCTTGTGGTTTAGACCTCAGAGTCAGAGACTCGGGGAGTGTACCCTAAGGAAACCACCTGCCCTGGCTTGGGTGCCTGGGCAGTATCACAGACCTCACACAAATCGAATGATGAAGAGTGGCGCATATATATATATATATATATATATATATATATATATATATAGTGCCTCATTGTACCAATGTTTATGTTTCAATAAATAATATGTTTGACTAAAAGTTGTATCAGTCCTCGTAAGGTGATTGCTGAAGAAATCTAAGCGAGTAATATGATCTCATACTAATGGAATGGACATAAATTATTGAACAACCAGTATGTATTTGTAAGACAATTATTAACAGTAGACGACGTCAAAGGTTTAAAGATAATGCATTGTCGACTGTGATCCTTGATTGACCGTAGAAATGTCAAGTTGAAACCCACTATAATAAATTACTCGTTTGTGAAAATTATTAAGTTGCAACTGTTCGAGGTCCCACACTTTGACTGACTTATAATACTTCTCGCAAAAAATACTTTGGCTGTTGTTTAGCACAATATTATTGCATAAGGTTTCATCCAGCAAATATATCAAGTATGCTTGATGTGACCTAACGGAGAACGCTTTTAATCTTTTTTTTTCTAGACCTTCTTATTAAACCAGATTTTCATGACAGATACTGTTTAGGATGAAAACAAAACTGATCATTTTATTTAGTAAGAGATAACAGTTTTTATTCAATAAGACTGACGTAAACCAAAGTGTCGCTACTTTGTGTCGGTGTTTCGCCTTTCCTGGATGACCAGTCTTCGACTGTATATATCCTGACTGTTTTCACTAGCTGCGCCTGTAGCTCTTCTAGGGCTAATGTTGGCAGATGATACATCTAACAACCACAGCAACAATTAATATACGAACATGGAATGTCCGCACAATGTGGGAGATCGAGAGGATCAATGGAATAGCTACAGAAATCAGTAAGCACAAATGAGCGGTGTTCGAAATAGGTGAAACACATTGAGTTCAAACTTGACAGAAAAAGATAAATTCGGGAGAGATGATGCTGTACTTCATTCAGAAGAGGAAAATGCTCCACACACCCAGGGAGTTGCTCTGATGCTGTCCAAAGAAGCACGAAATGCACTTATAGGATGGAAATCTTATGGACCCAGAATCGTCAAAGCATCATTAAACAAAGAGTATCGAAATATCATGGGACGATGTGGGTTGACTGAAAAAAGGAAAGAGAATGGTGAGAGATTCGCAAACTTATGTTCACTCAACAAAACGGATATGTGTCACAATATTCACCCACAAACGCATGCACAAAGCTACATCGGTCTCAACGGACCACACTACACAGAACCAGATCGATTATAATTGCATCAACAAAAAGTTCACAAGGTCAATAGAAGGTATGAGAACCAGGAGAGGAGCTGACATAGCTTCATATCACCACATGGTGGTTGCCAAGATGAGACTGAAGCCAAAGAAGCAATGGACAACCAGAGACAGCATTACAAAGGTTCAATAGAGCCTTAATTTGAGATACTCACAAACTCAACGAATTCAAAATAGCTCTCAACAACACGTGCCACACCTTACAAGATCAACTCAAAAGAGAAGGAACTACTACGGAGGACAGTAGGAAAGGGATCAAGGAAGCACTAACATCAACGTGTCAAGAGGTTCTGTGCCTCAATAAGCATCAACATAGGGAACGGATATCTATCGAAACTCTGTACAACCAGTGTGGTAGAAGCCTCAACACACACAAGGAAAAAACCAAGATCCTTGAATACAACACGGAGAACACCGACCAAATCACACTCGATGGAGAAACTATCGAATAGGTAGAAAATTTCACGTACACGCACAGCATCATCGATGAACAAGGAGGACCCGGTGCAGACGTACAGTCAATTAGTGGCAAAGCAACGGCAGCATTCCTACAGTTGAAGAACATATAGAACTCAAAACAACTGTCTGTCAACCAACATCAAAGTCACAACCTTCAGTACGAACGTCAACACAGCTCTACTGTACGCAGCTAAAACTTGCAGAACTACCACAACCATCATCAAGAGAGTACATGTATTTACAAACAATTGTGTATGCCAGATAATCAGTGTCCATTGACTGGATACCATCAGCAACAGCCTACTGTGGAAGAGAACAAACCAGCTTCCAGTTGAAGAGGAAATTAGGAATAGACGTGGTTAGTGGATAGAACATACATTTCGGAAGTCATCAAACTGCATCACGAGGCGAGTGCCCACTTAAAATGCTGAAGGGAAACGAAAAAGGGGAAGGTTGAAGATACACTGTGTCTGGAATTGGAATAAGACATGAAAAGGATTAATCGCGACTGCAAAGGACATAGTTCGATGGAGAATGCTGGTGGGCGGCTTATGCTCCTCCACAAGGGGTAACATGCATAATTAATTCTTCACTCGTCAGGTTATTTTTAAATGAATTCGTTCTTAGAAAACATCAAAAATCGCAGTTTCCTATACTTAATCTCTTCAAGGAGAAAATAAGAAGAGACTCGAAGGGATAATTACAAGCGGAAGTCATCACCTCATGAAAACTAAATACCACTGTTTAAGCATGATTAGAAAATCCCAAATTTGACTGCTGGGAGAATTCAATTGAAGTTGAATAAATCGTGTAACTCATTAACATGGTTAGCTCAAAACATGACAGTAGTCCAGGAATTCATTGAATTTTGGGCTAGGGTGTGTACAGAGTTTGCAATTCCTGTATGTATTTATTTGAACACAGAAACATTAGTACAAGGTGGCACCAAATACATATGCGTCACACAATGACAATGCCAGTAGTAGTTATCATTGATTTGTGTGAGGTCTGTGATACTGCCCAGGCACCCAAGCCAGGGCAGGTGGTTTCCTTAGGGTACACTCCCCGAGTCTCTGACTCTGAGGTCTAAACCACAAGGCAGTGGAGTAACATAAGGAGATGTAGTCCTATAGTAGCCGGTGACTAACAGTAAGTTCGTAGATCATTTGTTCCTTCGGTATCCTGGAGCCCATGTGAACCATTGGTTTGGGATCAGGGTTTTCCAACTTCTCTAGGTGAATCCTCCATATTCACCATGCTTCCTGACTTAGGTACATGATACAATACCGATCTATGATGGAACAACTTGAGGGAAATGCTTTGAAATCAGTTGCAAATGCATTAGTAAACGTCTTATTTCTTGACTTCATTCACTCAAAAATAGAAAGCTTATCATTGTACAAAACTTACCAGGTTGTTTGAAAAAAGACATTGCAAGAACCCAGTACCATCCCGAAGAACAATGAACATTAAAGTTTTACTCTGACGACGTATTCGATGCACCCAGCCGTACACACGTACACGTTGATCGTATAAGGTTTGTAAATCACGAATTTTACATTGTTTTGCTTCAGGTAATTTTGTGTCCAAAGTCAGTTGAACATCCACTGCTTCACTAAGATTACCGTTTTCAGCAGGTGGCTGAGAAAGAAATGCAACAGTCTAATAAGAACAGCAAAAAATGTATGTAAACTGTAATTCACACACAGTACAAGTTTATGTGTTTGGCTTTGAGCTATATTATTTCTGTGAGGTCTATCGATTTTACTAGGATAGGTGGGGCTGAATTCAAACCCTTTATCTACTGATTGACAATCCAGTGTTCCAACCAATAGACTACATTCAGAAGCGCATGAGACACTGAAGAACAGCTTCCACAGTTAGCTTTATGTTTTTTTTTACCACAGATGCTACGGAACAAAGCGGTTAATATTTACAAATATATTGTGAACTTTGTGTAGCAACTAAATGAATATTAAGATAAATAGCAGGATAGTGAGAAACGGTTGTAAAGGTTCGTTTAAAAATATCTTTACTTTCATATGACCTTTAAACATCTTTGCAATGTAGATTTATTACTATTCTAAGCAGCATATTTCTTAATTTTCATGTAATTCACTCATCAAGCTTAATATAATCGGCTTTGATCCAAACATTTTATGGAGAATGACTACTACTGAGAGGCAATATTATTTGCTAAGATCGATGAATATGAACAGAACGTTTGAGTGAAGTTGTGCTTTTAATACATCCATCAACAAATATTTCAGTATGTCAAGAGTGAATACATACACAAACTATGTAGGATAGGATTGGCATTACCAGGATGGATAAAGAAACGTAACAAGTTTTACATGGGATCCCACTGGTGTCTTACCCTTGTGCGGCATTCTAACAGTTTGTTAGTCCACACAGGTTCGCACCAAGTTACTGAAGTGATGAACTCGGAGAGAATATCCAGTAAGATCTTGACTGTCTTTATACACACAAATAATAGTCATCATTTTTGCTACACTGTCGACACAGTAGTCTGTAACTAGTTATTAAGGAAACTCAAGGTGTCATCAGTGACCTTAAGCAGCATTTATCTCGAAATCGCATATTATGATGGATGTCTTGTACAATCGCGAGATTTCGGCACCAAAATGATGCACATATTTACTTAGATTTTTAGTTGATTGCTTCAAATTACTCAGACAACAGGAATTTAAAATCCTGTGGTCACTATGGCTAGGTTGGTCACAAATGATAATACATGGGGGCTACATAACGCTGAGTTATGTGTAAATAATAGGTTGTGTAGAAGCCACCAATACTGGAGTAAGTAAATCTTACGTTACTTGCAAGCGAGACTTACAACTTTTCCCTTTGGCACCTTATCATGTTTTCTTTCTTGAATATGATATTGTTTGATCATCTTCTTTAGTTTCGATTTAGATACAGGATCCCACATTTCGTTTTCAACACCATCAACCCAGATGCACGTATCCGCATCAATTTTCCCATCTAACTTAGCGATGGCCTGAAGAATAGTTTTTAGAGGAGCTTTTTCTGTTCCGTCTCCAGTTGTATCGGAGCCACGCTTTTCAGAAGTGTATATCTGCATAGTGATATTTGTCCCGTTCAAGTCTAATAGGGGTGAAATAAGTTTAGATAATTACATCCAGGAGTTATTAAGAGATAAATAGCGTAGGATAAACGTAAGTAGTGTTCATCGCAACGCGTTAATATTGCTAGATGATAAATATTTCATTAGATTGAACACATCTGATATGGGATCATGCAAATAAGACTCCACAAAAAAGGCGATATCCAGTTGTTTCGTGAATTCCTTTTAGTAATATTAAATGGTATTTAGCCAATACCAGCAAATTTAAGTGTTAAATTATTAGTGTTTGGTGTGCTATCTATTCAGTCCCATTAACTGTATATTTTTAACTATATTTCTAAGTTGTGATTTCTTGTGCCCTCATAACTATACTTGAAAACTTGCTATTCATGTTGATTGCAAACCAACAACTACTGACGGATACAGCAAAACATCTGAAACATACCCCAGTCGCCACATATAACCAGGACAGCAAGAAATCAACGGAAAAGTAAAGAACCAAAAACTAATGCTAGAAAGAAAAGGTACGAATGAGGACGTGATGACATATTTACATAAAGTGCAGACAGGTTGAGTTTGTATTCCTATAGAGGGTACTAGTTAGAGGGCCAGTGAAAACCAGGAAATACAGAACACGTGTCTTGTCTTAGTACGAGACTTCAGAACGTAGATGCTGTACTTCACCAGAGATCGAACCTGAGACTCTCAGGGTCTAGGGTGAGGTTCTAACCTTCAGATCGTCAATCTGAGATTTAGTGGTTATTTTGTGATGTCAAAACCACGGAATTCAACAAACTATGCAACTCCCTATCCCGTTAAATTCAATTTTTTAGCTCTTAAGAAATTACATTAGTACTAGTGTGATGTCTGGATTTCAGTTAAGACAAACATCTCCGCCGATGGGACTCAGATCTGAGATAGCTTGCATGGAGCCTGAAATGACATTGTATGGACACTGAGTGAGCGAAGCATTGTATGAGGCTTCATAGACGTGTATAAAAGTCGAATCCAAAACATGAGAGCAGACAACTCAGTAAAATATTGAATTAACTTACACAAAATAATAAATTTAGTCGACAATAAATAACAGTTAATGTATGGTGTGAAGGCAATATGGTGGTCGAAAGCAGAGTGGCAGTCAGATTTTAAACGTGTCACACAACTTTAAACCTCAGCTCGAAATCTAATATCCCCAACATACGAAATCCAATGTCACAATGAACTCAAACGTCAGTCTTGTTACAAAAACATTACATTGGGACTATCGGGAATTAAAGATGGGAACTTTCATCAAGCCCAGTAAAGTAAATCTGGGTACTGTGATAGCGAGAGTGCAGGTTAGGTGCAGAAGTTTTGAATATTGTTTGCCTGAAGAACGTTACAAGCTGAGAGTTTAAGAGAGATAGTTGATAAAAACCTGATTGGTGGATGATATTAGTTATTTTCTTACCTTTCGGATTTGATCCAGTGATCACATTTCATATTACTGGCTGTTAAGCATTAGCGGAATGATCGGTCTTCTCTCACCAACGTCTTGGTAGTAGGAGAGCTTGCTTGGTTACGAGAAGATGTGATTCTTGTCACATCATTTCTAAAAACTAAGGGGCGAAAATGTTTACTTGGTAGTATCGAGGATTAACAGACTTAAAGTAATCCATAAGCCTATTTTGATAGATTTACGGGAAAATATCACTAAAATAACATACGACAAGGAGACTTACTACTTACTAATTTTACAAGCGAAAAAGTGTTGGCTTGAGTAGACTCCTGATAATGCCTGTGTGAATTTATCCTGTAAGCTTATACTAATGCTTGTCAAATATTCACACATTAACCATGCGTAATTATAATAAATCACAAGCTTTTTCAGTGGGTGATAACTTATTTACTTCGGTACAGGTTTTTTGAGTCATCCTAGTGATGTTTATGACTACAATTGCACAAACTAGTAGCTGTTTTAACTCAGTTCCTAAGTGGATAACGCAACGGCTTTGAAGCGAACAGTAGTGGGTTCGGGTCCTGCAATGAGAATCAACTTTGTGATGCAGGTACATCCAGGTGATGAGTTTCAAGCACGATGAAACGCGCGTCCTGGACTTCACTTCTAGCCACCGTCTATCCCTGCTCATAATGTATGAGAAAGAGTTATTTTAGGCAATATAAATTATTTCGATGTTTGGTAATCAAATTACATTGGATAATAATCATGAAACGGTTTGTAACTGTAGGCAATCCCCTCCATTTGGCATCTATCCTTTTCATGTCTGATTCCAATTCCAGACACAGTGTATCTTCAACCTTCCCCTTTTTCGTTTCCCTTCAGCATTTTAAGTGGGCACTCGCCTCGTGATGCAGTTTGATGACTTCCGAAATGTATGTTCTATCCACTACCCACGTCTATTCCTAATTTCCTCTTCAACTGGAAGCTGGTTTGTTCTCTCCCACAGTAGGCTGTTGCTGATGGTATCCAGTCAATGGACACTGATTATCTGGCATACACAATTGTTTATAAATACATGTACTCTCTTGATGATGGTTGTGGTAGTTCTGCAAGTTTTAGCTGCGTACAGTAGAGCTGTGTTGACGTTCGTACTGAAGGTTGTGACTTTGATGTTGGTTGACAGACGGTTGTTTTGAGTTCTATATGTTCTTCAACTGTAGGAATGCTGCCGTTGCTTTGCCACTAATTGACTGTACGTCTGCACCGGGTCCTCCTTGTTCATCGATGATGCTGTGCGTGTACGTGAAATTTTCTACCTATTCGATAGTTTCTCCATCGAGTGTGATTTGGTCGGTGTTCTCCGTGTTGTATTCAAGGATCTTGTTTTTTTCTTTTGTTCAGCATTTATTGTAACCAGACTCCCGGTCCTAGCTTACTCGAAATGCACAAACAATAAGAAACCCATAGTTTAGAGATCCGAGTGTTTCGATTTTAAATTATATATTACGATATGCCACAGTTCAGTATCGCATTGTATTGAGATATGTTATGAAAAATCCATAGTGCGTGACCTTAAATTTCAAAATGCGTGATAATTGAATGTCTAAATGAGAACTTGAAGTTTATGGTCATAATTACAGATCGAACGATTTCAGACGATGAGTAAAATAAATGTATCGAAGTTAGGTAAACATGGTGTTATACACTTTGTTATTTGTTAGTAAGGTAGATATTTCAAGGAAGTTTTCAACCTGCTGATTGGATTCCAACTATGATGAACGTATGAATATGTTATTAAGATAAACCTTCCGTCTAACTGCGTATTGTACCTAGCCTAACCATGTTTATGTTACGGCGCTAATAATAAGCCAAGTACGAGTTGTACTGTAGTAATTTATTTCAAGTATTTTTTTGTACAAACAGATATTCGGAACAGTTATGTGGAAGCGAAGAGGAACGGATAATGCGAGGGAGCCGACTTAATTTGGTCAAGTGCGAATTGACATGTATAGTAAGACAAAAATGTTACAGACATGCGATGAGTGGGGTATGGAATGTACACACATAAGCTCATATTAAAACAGTCAAAGTTAACAAGCGAATAATTAACAAGGTCAGAGTGTGACTTGAAGAGACTTAGTTAATCAGGCCCTCTGGAAGCTAGAATAATCCATATGAGCTTAAAGTGTAATACACACTTCGCTTTCTCTTATTATGTCACTAAGAATACGAAAGTTCAAAGCTCTCAACAGTAATACATGTCCCTACCAAAAAAACCTTCACTTTTTCTCCCGAGAGCAGTCATGTGTATGTGTAAACCAGTAACGATATGCAATAAATTCACTTTATATACCATCGACTAAAGTCAAAAAGCAGTATAATGGGAAAGTAGAACCATCATTTGAAAATTGTGGACACTATAGTAGTAAGAAGTGCTTGCAAAGAAAGGAAGAAAAATGCACATAAATGCGGGTCGCAAAAAACGACGCATCAAAGGAAAGCCAAAGTAGTAGTCATGAAGAAAAGCAACACCAAGGAATTATCACATACATTCGCACCAGAATCATGCAAATTCCGTTCCATAAATAAAACTACGACGAATGTTAGTGGCAAATTTAATCAATATCGAAATGATAAACAACGTAATTATCGAAGGAATACTTCACTAGTTGCGGTGTATTTGATGCTTGTTTCCAGGTTGGTAATGTTTTAAACAAAACGTGTTCTGTCTTCAACTTCTGGTCGTAGGTTAGTTGGTGGGCATCGATAGGTAGTTACACACCAGAACGAACTGGCCGTCCAGTGCCTTCAGTTTTCCAGTGATTGTCTAACTTTGATCGGTTAAGGGTGTCTACAAATGCATGCGTTTTTCCTTGGGCTATGGGGCCGCTAAAACCATTAGCCATCCAATAAATGTTGTAAAACCCATAAGATGTCAGTTAAAATCAGGCTAGAGAAGAATACGTTTTAAGTAGGACAAGTAAATGAATTGATTAACTGAATAAACATAATGACTGTGTAGATTATTATGCAAAACCGAGAAGTAAACGGAAATAATAAGAATCAAAGATAGATAAGATTAGTAATTAGATTCGGTCTCCAAAGTCTGCTGATATAGATGTAGATACACTTGGATGACTTATAGATGAGAATGACTGAAGCACAGGAAGTCGACCGAATATTCTTAATAATAATAATAATAACATATTCTCAAATAACAGTCTGTTACATGAGGCATGCCACTTTACAGGAGATACAGTCTTCACTGTATTGGGTTACTCATTTAGGTTGATATTTGATAAAGTACATTAGTCATGGAATTATGGGGAATAAAACATCTCTCATATGAATGTAAATATTATTATTGAGACTCGTATTGTCAATATGACAGTTGACGCGCGTTATGCAGATTGCTTTGGGACGTGCAACTAATGGTCGAGAATAAATCTACTTGAAACTGAGAGCTCTTAGAAACCGCAACGTTATACCCCTCTGGAACATTCGAGGGATTAATGGTGGCGCGGGACGAAGTTACCTGTTCCATATGTGTGGCATATCTTGAGGGGCTGGAAACGAGGCCTTTATTCTGGTAAGAACCCTGAACAACTCATCAGAGCTGAGTGTATTTTAAAGTTTGTGGCGGAGGAAGTGACGAAAGGAGTGATGCTTTCCTTCTATGCAGTTGCTCATAATCTCCCTGATTGCACACACCCACCTGAGTTGATGGATATTTGCCTCTCAACATGCGGTATACTGAAAATCAACTGCCAAGCCATCCACCTGAGTAAACGTAGGATAGATCGACACTCCCCACCTGTTTTAATTTTGCTGTTGTATTGATTCTAAACAGTTAATTAGTTAGAGCAAATATACTAGCACATTAATTCCATACAAGAAAATAAAAGTCACTCCAGACTTAACGTCCTGTCAACGTCGTGTGAGAAATCACGAAGCGATGGCTTTGCAAGATAGTGTCACAGCAAATAATCAACTAGTGATAGTTTATAATACAGTAGATAATTTAAAGCGCATGAACAATGAGGACGACGTGACTCCACAAACGGCGGATCACTCTGTAGGTCAGAAACCTTCGAATAAGATACCGATCCTAACTGTCATCGAAAAGCATAACGGCGTTATTAAGTCCGGCTGTTCGCGCAGTAAAGTACCTAAGTGTGATCCGTATGACGACACACTTGCAAATAAAGCTATTCTTTCGAAAACTGGTCCTCCTGAAGGTCATTCACAAGATGAATCGAATGAAATTGGATTAGTCTCACAGAGACAGAAAAACTCTCCAGCTCTGATAAAAAAGTATGAGGAACAAAATCCACGATACAGAATAGGGAAACACGTAAGATTGAACCCCGCTGTTCTGTGGGTATCCCAACAACAATGAACAGGTTCCTTCAGCTGATAATACGCAACTTGCCGTCAGCAACTTTAAGTAGCAAGACCGGGGGTAGACTACAGCATAACAAAACTTTCCACACACAGACTAATAAACTATCACAGCACCGTCCAGCCCACTAGCGCCCTAAAGTCCAGAACCATTATTAAGCATGTTAATATTAGATTTCTCAGTCCACATCATCTCCCTACTCTCCAGGGTTCCAAATGTAATTACTGTCAAACGGAAAACTTTTCACATCCTTCAGTAAAAACCCAACACATAAAAAATGGCACCCATGTAAAATAACAGTCATTATTACTTCCAGTTACGTGCAGAAGATACTTCTCACGTCTACACTA